GCTGACAGCAAAGTGACTCAGTTTTACACATATAGAATTTATATATTTATATACATATATATATTCTTTTCCCCTTATGGTTTATCACAGGATATTGGATATAGTTCCCTGTGCTATACAGTAGAACATACTTGCTGTTTGTTTATCCATCCTACAAAAATGTAGTTTGCGTATGCTAAACCCACACTCCCAGTCCTTCCTTCCCAAGCCACCGTCCCCCTTGGCAACCACAAGCCTATCCTCTGCATCTGTGAGTCTGTTTCTGGTTTGTAGATATGTTTATTTTCCCCATATTTTAGATTCCACATATAAGCGATTGTTGTTGTTCAGTTGGTAAGTCGTGTCCAACTCTTTATGACCCCATGAACTGCCACACGCCAGGCTTCCCTGTCCTTCACTATCTTCCTGAGTTTGCCCAAACTCATGTCCACTGAGTTGGTGATATACCATCCAACCATCTCATCCTCTATTACCCGCTTCTCCTCCTGCCTTCAATCTTTCCCAGCATCAGTGTCTTTTCCAATGAGTCAGTTCTTTGCATCAGGTGGCCAGAGTTTTAGAGCCGCAGCATCAGTCCTTCCAATGAATATTCAGGGTTGATTTCCTTTATATATGAAATCATATGGTGTTTGTCTTTGTCTTTCTGGACACAGCTCCCATCACCTGCTGCAATTCATCTTCTCAAAGAGTGACACCCTTTCCTCCTAATATATAAAATGCAGAAGTAGGTGCTGACAGTGGGAAGTGAATCAAAGACAAGTGCAAAGGAGATTCAAGCAGCTTCACTTAAACCTTAAGGACGTCCAGGGTGTCCACTCTTGACCTTGGCTTTGCATCCTTGAAGGGTACTGAGCGTGTGTTACCACCAAGGATGGGAGGCTGGACCACGTGTCTGCTCCCTGCTCTGCGCCTTCTCATCATCCCAGGTGAGTGGGGCTGGTGCTTCAGACACGAGTGATTGAGGTTGGGCAGGAGATCGTGAGGGTCTGTCTTGGCTTGCAGATAGGCAACTTCTTACTGTGACTCTGTCTCTGTGTCTATGCAGAGAGAGAGAGTCTGGACCTCCAGGGAATTCTAACAGGCTCTTGAGGAAATCCACACTGGAACTTTTGACTGTGAGCACAGTACCAACCTCCCTGATCATTCAGAGGAGTGTTAGCACCTGCCCAGGACCCCACGCAGCCTCATTCCTCTGGCCGTCTGCCCACTCAGGCAGAGTTAGCAAACATGTCCACTGCTTGAAGTTATATCCACTAGAAAAAAAAGTTCCTCTCTTCCATGCTTGGATTATGCTGGGTTTCTCAACGTTGACACTGTGGACACTTGGGGCCAGATCGTTCTTTTTTGTAGGGAACTTTCTGTGTTAAACAACATTCCCGGCCTCTACCCACCAGATGCCGATTGCACCTCCTCCCCCAGTGATAATCAAAAATGTCTCCAGACCCAGCCTAATGTCCTCTGGGAGCATGGGAAGGGGGTGATGGCAAAAAACCTCTGTGAGAACCACTGCTTTTTGGTCACCCCTACATTTATCCAAGTGCTGGAGCTATTCACTTACAGCAGGTTCAGCACACCACGCAGGACCATCTGATCCAGCTGTGTGCCTTCCTTCTGCGGTCCATTGATGCCCCAGATCACAGGATCTGGTCTACTCATGAGTGCGATCAGCTGGTGCCTCCAGGACCTGCCTGGTCCCCATCTGATACAGAGACTTTCCTCTTGACTCTTGATCTGCAGTGTTCTCAGGATAGGAGATGCCTTGGCAAACAGCACAGTCTGTATGTCTCATAAACACTGTAGCAGAAGAATGCACACTGTTCCAGGAGAGACCTGCTGCGTGTGCCACTGAAGGACGGACGAGAGTCCCAGCTGGCTTCCAGGCAGAGAGGCCTTGACGGGGATGCTGGGCAGAGACTAGTGTAAACTGAGCAAGGACGCAGGGGCCTGACTGCATTGTTGCAATAGTGCTAGAGTACCTAGACTGTTGTGTGAGCTATGAGAATATCTCACCCTGTGAATATCACGGCGAGGTGATATGCTTAGTTGCTTAGTCATGTCTGACTCTCTGTGACCCCATGGACTGTAGCCTGCCAGGCTCCTCTGTCCATGGGATTTCCCAGGCACAAATACTGGACTGGGTTGCCAGGGGATCTCCCCAACCCAGGGATCCAATCCAGGTCTCCCACATTGCAGGTGGATTCTTTAATATGTGGGGTTTTTTTCAAGACTTTTTTAATAATGTAGACCACTTTAAAGTCTTCATTGCTTCTGTTTTATTTGTTTTGTTGTCTTGGCAAAGAGGCCTGTGGGATCTTAGCTCCACAATCAGGGATCAAACCCACATCCCCTGCACTGGAAGGTGGAGTCTTAACCACCAGGGAAGCCAGGGAAGCCCCAGTGTCCTGCGATTTTATTTGCTAAACCTGATAACTCTATCCTCTGGGGTACTCAAGCTGGGGCTCCCACACATAGCCCCTCTGATGCTTCCTTGTGTCTGCAGAGTCTTTGGGAAGTCTGGGGTGGGCCTCCCCAACCTCATTTTGTCTTTAAATACAGTCAATGTCCCACCTGAGCTTTAGCTACATNGTTTCCCACCTGAGCTTTAGGTATGTGAAGGCAAAATCTTCAGCTGGATGGCAGGACAGGAGGCTGAAACCGTGGTCTCTCTCTTATGTGCCCCTCCCCTCTCGGGGGGCAAGAGAGAGTCTCAAGGTCTAGCCTCTAGCTTGAGAAGAAAGCAGCTGTCCTTTTCTAAACTGCCCTGCCCCCTTCCTCCACAATGACCGACAGGAAGAGCTTAATTCATATCCCAGGACTCTCATCTAGAGATCTTCATAAGAATAAAGAGGCTTCTCCAAACCCCACCCTCTCCAGCCCAGCCTAGCTCACAGCTGCTGATCTGTTCTAACTCCAGGGTCTGACTGATGGATTACTCCACCATCCCCAAGATGCATGGAGGATCTCCTCACACACCCCAAGTGAGAGTCACAGCCAGACTGAATACATTCGAGAGAGGGAAGAGAATGGAGAGATTGATGGGGCGGGGACTTAGGGTGACAAGGAGAGGCTGTGAAGTCACTCTCATCTTCAGGTGTGGTGAGGGATGGCACTGGGACTAGAATCTCATTTCACACAAACACAAAATACATCAGGGCAGGGACACCAGAGTCTTCTGCCACTTTTTAAGAAAATACTTTCTTTATTTGGTTGCATCGCCCCCGGGATCTTCCTTGAGTCACGCAGAATCTTTCATTGCACTGCATGGTCTTGGTTCCCCAACCAGGGATCAAACCCACAGCCCCTGCATTGCAAGGCAGATTCTTACCCACTGGAACACCAGCAAAGTCCCTCTGTCCACTTACAGCTTCATATCTTCACATGCAGTTGGCATATTATCATTGTTTTGCACATTTTTCTACTTTCATGGGATCTAGAATTTCCCAGGTGGCTCAGTGGTCCACCTGCAAATACAGGAGATGCAGGAGACACGGGATCAACTCCTGGGTTGGGAAGATCCCCTGGAGGAGGAAATGGCAACCCACTGCAGTGTTCTTGTCTGGAGAATCCCATGGACACAGGAGCTTCGTGGGCTAGAGTCCGTGGGGTCACAAAGAATCGGACACAATCCAGCACACACGCAGAGAGTCTCAAAGCCCCGACTGGCTGAAGCCCTGCCCCGCATACAATGCAAAAACAAGTGCATTATGCTGTGTGCGGCACAGACTTGAGATCATGTATGTCCTCCAAGGAACAGGGCCCAGAAGAAAGGCATCTGCTCTTCCATTCCTTCCTGTAGTTTCTCCTGTGTTGGAGGCCTCAGGACGAAGAAGGTCAGAGGCTGTGCAGGGAAGGGTGAAACTAGATCCAGGCCCGAGCATCACAGCAGCAGGTTTCCAGGGACTAGGGGACTGATTCTTGAGGCGGGAGGCCACACTGCCTCAAGAACCACCACGGTGCCGCTGACCACCATCATTGCTTGAGAAAAATGCCTTTTTCTTCTGTTTGAGGGTCTTTCTCTCTGGACAACGTTGAAGACCATGGGGGCTGCTGGTTTTCCTGGGACTTCCACCCAGAGCTCCTCAGAGGCCTGTTGACCCAGAGGACAGCACCCAGCAGGCCCAGGAGCAGTGCCCGTTCTGTGCTTTCCCGGTGCTGGCTGCATCAGGCGCACCAGGGCTCCCGCAGTACAAGTTGCTCCTGAGACAGGATTGTTCTAAGCTGTTCTAAGCGCTTGAGCTGAGTCAACACTGTATGGACCAGCTTTCAGTTGTGGTTCCTATTTCTTTATGTCCCTGCCATCTCCTGCACCTAGCTTTGGAGACTACAAAGAAAGAATATAAACCACCCCCGGCCCCCGGGTTTTAGGGGGGAGAGAATGTATTTAGGTCACAGACAATACATTTGAGAGAAAATATAATGAGCCAAGAATCAGGCTCCCCTCTTCCCAAACTGCAAGATTCCCCAGGCTGTGGGGAGGGGGCAGCGTTAAAAGGGCCCCATGAGAGTTCGGGTCCCGCTGGATTCTGAGAAGGAGAAGGTGCAATTATTGCAAGAATGTGGAAGTGGAGCCAGACAGGAAAAGGGTTGGTTGAGGCCAAACCTCATGACTGACAAGTGCAGACTCATGAGCAGGGGCCCTTCCCTAAAGGGTAAATTTACATAGAACAAGGAGGGTAGCTTGAGAAAAGGCTGGAGAAGAAGAAGAGCAGAAATAGGCCTGGGATTGTCCCTGGTAGCTCAGTGATAAAAAATCCTCCTGCAAATGCGAAGACGCAGGAGTTCGATCCCTGGCCCCAGAAGCTCCCACATGTCTTTGGGCGACTAAGCCCACGCACCCCAAGTGTTGAGCCTGTACTCTGGAGCCCAGGAGCCACAACTACTGAGGCCCTCATGCCCTGGAGCCTGTTCTCTGCGACAGGAGAAGCCACCTCAATAAGCGGCCTGTGCATTGTAACTAGAGAGCAGCCTCTGCTCGCCGCAACTAGAGAAAAACCTGAGCAGCAACGAAGACCCAGCACAGCCAAAAATAGATAAATAAATAAAAACAGGAGTGGCCACAAACCTTTCTGAGAAAACCCAGAGGACTGGGTATGTGTGTGTCCAAGCACATGTGTGCATTCATGTGCGGGCTGTGTTTGTGCGTGCATACACGTCCATGTGTTCGTGCACATGTGTGTGTACATTCCCTCATGTGTGCATACTTTCCTGTGGGTTTTTCCCCTTGCCCTCATGTCAATTCAGTCCCTCCGTGACAACCACAGGAAGTGGTGGTCAAGACTCTAAAGGGTCTGGGTACCCCAGAAGGGCTGCCTGCCTAAGATCATCATCACCTCTGCCACAAAGAGCCAAATCAGGAAATAGACAGGGAGGCAGAGCAAAGAGGCAAGAAGAACAAAGAGGGATGTTCAAGGCAGACCTGACACTGAAAGCTCCTGGTCTCACCTCCAAGCTCCAGCTCCTCAAACCGCCAGCTGCTGTGGCCTTCGGGACAGCGACCCTTCCGGAGTCTGCAGGCGATCCGTGGGTCCGAAGGCTCCGGAATGACCACGCAGGCTGTCAACCCCACGCACTGCTACCCAGCCCAGCCCAGCATCAGCCCAGTCCCCTCACCTTTCTTCGGTCTCTTCGCCATTCTCCAAGCCACAAGTGAGGCCACCATGAAGAGAAGCAGCAACACCGCAAAGATGAGAGGAAGGAGGACACTGAGACCCAGGCCGTCATCGCTGCAAATGACAGATGCTGCAAATGACAGGTGCTGGCTCACCTCCCCCCTTGACCTTATCCCACCCACATGGGGGCAGAGATGGCCACACACCTTTAGACCTTCTGACTGCAGGGCTGTGGTTTCCAGCCTGGGAAACCCCTACTCCTGGGTACCCGCAAAGATTTTATTTTTCCTTTTCTTGGCCACTCTGCAGGGCTTATGGGATTTTAGTTCTTTGACCAGGGGTTGAACCTGCACCCTCCACAGTGAAATCATGGAATCCTAACCACTGAACTACCAGGGAGTTCTCCGAAGATGTTTTTTTAAATATTTCATTTATTTCCGCTAAGTCTTAGCTACAGCAGGCAAACTCTTAACTGCAGCACATGGGATCTAGCTCCCTAACCAGGGATCAAACCCAAGCCCTCCACATTGGGAGCACAGAGTTCTAGCCACCGGACCACCAGGGAAGTTCTGGTTTAAAAAAAGATGGCGAGGAGGGTTGCACAGTGTTTCTGTGGGTCTGCAGACTGAACGGAAATTGTGAGGCAAAGGCTCTGAAAAGGTTTTTCTATTTCTCTGCTTGCCCCCTATGCAGGCTGAACAATGTCCTTCCTCCGGTAGTTCACTCAGAACCTGAGATCCGTTTGGAAGTAAGATCTTTGCAGAGGTCGTCAAGTTAAGATGAGGTCATGCTGGATCAGGATGGGCCTGAGTTCAGTGATTGGTGTCCTTATAAATGATAAACTGGTGGTCCAGTGGCTAAGACTCCTCCCTTCCAACACAGGGGACCCAGGTTCAATTCTTGGTCAGGGAACTAGATCCCACAGCTGGCAACTAAGAGTTTACAAACCACAACTAAGACTCAGTGCAGTCAAATAAATAAATATATTTTTTAAAAAGGCAGCGGGGGTTGGGGGGTTGGGAATTGGGGCACACAGACATGCAGGGAGAAGGCCATGTGATGTCAGAGGTCAAGGCTGGTGTGATGCTGCCCCAAGCCAAGGAATTCTCAGCTTACCGGCAGCCCCCAAAAGTGAGGAGACTGGCCTGGGACAGACTCTACTTTAGAGTCCCAAGAAGGAGCCAGCCTGCCCACATCTTGGTTTCATTTCTGGCCTCCTGAGCTGTGAGAGCAAGTGAAAGGGGACCCGAGCATCCTGGAGCCCAAGAGTGCAGAGACAAGCTCTGACTGGGGCCTGGGACTACAAAGGGTGCCCCTTCTGAGGAGTTTGGGCCCCATGGTCCACGAGGATTGGCAGCATCGGAGCTGGCTTACCTGTTGTTGGAGGTGTGGCTGGTCTCAGCTGAGGAGCGAACAATATCTTTTGTGGTGACAGTGGAGGTGATGGGCGTGGTGGGCGTGGTGGTCGTGGTGGTCGGCACTGTAGTTGGTGCTTGGCATAGAGACCAGGTTACACACCACTCTGCCTGCTCACCCGCCTGCCGCCCTAGATGTGCCTCTGAGTCTGGGGGGTCAGGGTCTGGGGAGCATGGGCCTCCCTGCCCTGAGCAGTCTGGAGCAGGGCCAAGGGAGGGGCCGACAGCCTGGACTGCTCATATCTCCCTGGCCTCCAGGAGACTCAGAGCCTCAGAGGCAGTGGGGCTGGCACTGGTCCAGGGAGGTCAGAGGGGCCCAGGGTCGCCTCAGGACAAGGGCAGCTGGAGGGCAGTTGAATTCAAACACTCCAGCTGCTAATGCCGGGCCTCGGCCAGTGCCTCCCCCATCTACTTATCCACGAGGACAGGAGTAGACTGGGGGCTACCAGGCAGCTGACATAGCCAAGGTCTGCGACGTCAAAGGTCAGGACCAGCCCAGAGCAAAGTCCCGAGGTTCAGGAAGAGCCTGCACTTGGAGGACGTTATTAAGCTCCCACGATGGGGATAGTTCTCAGGAATGTTGTCAGGATTGAATGAGATGACGAACATGTTGTACTTGGCCTCACAGGTTCCAGGTGTGAGCGTGGGGGTGGGGCGGTGACTGCTGACTGTGTACCCAGCCCCCCTGCCACACAGGTGCCCCGTGAGCTGGTGTCATCTATCTGAGGACCAGCAGAAGCAGAGCCCAATAGATAAATTATGTCAAACCAAGATCGCTGAGCTAACATGCCCAGGAGTGTTTGCATTTAGAAGGATTTAAGAAGAAAGCATCAATCATCCCAAATGTGTAAATGGCTCTTGATGGGGTTTCAGGCACCGGAAATACAGCCCTCTGACAGTGAAGCCCTTTCCAGGCCCCGACATTAAGCACAGTATCCCCCACTGGCCTGGGTCTTTCCCCTGAGATGGGATATGGACCACGTGGTGGGCATGGCAGCTCTGAAGACGCAACCCTGAATTTCAGAAAGAGCAGGAACACCCCCAGGGCAGCAGGGGTCCCAGGAAAGCACTGGCGGGAACTGGGGGCTCCAGGTCCCACAGAGGAGGGTCCCTCTGGCCCACAGGCTGACACTGGGACCACCACCTTCATCTCCCTGGGAACAGACTCAGGCTCTGAGTGTGTAGAGGAAAGCAAGGTGCCGGGAAAGCCTGATCCTGTCCCGGGAGAGGCCCTGGAGCCAGGAGAGCGTCGAGGGGAAGCCCTGCCCCTCCCAGCCCAGGTGGTCAGTGGGGGCTCCGTGAGACCTCAGGACTCCCCAGCCCCTGTGACATTCACTCTGAGGGCCAGCTGGGTCCCTGGACAGAGCAGGCCCTGAAGAGACACGTCCACATGGACACAGACTCTCACCTGGGTCAATGGTCACTTCTACTTGGTTCCCCAGGTCAGTTCCGACTCTCTCAATCCCACACCAGTAAGTATCTGAATCATCTAGCCTGAGCTTCTCCATGGTCACGGTGAACGAGCGGTCTTTCCGGTCGTCCTTGATGGACACGCGGCCCTTCTTCACCTCCTTCTCTGATCCAGTGGTTTTAACCATGATCCGACAGCTGCCCCAGTCGGCCCCCCGGCACCACCACTTCAGGTAGGACTCATACGCAGGGTCGTATCGACACCGCACGGTCAGTGATGCCTGCTCCACACCTCTCACTGCTCTGGGACCCGAGATGGCAGATGAGCCTGGAAATACAAATCCATGCACCTGTCGCCTCCCGCCCTGGGGGCAGGGCCACAGCCTCCTGCATTGTGAAAAGTTCAACCAGACCCAAGGGCCTCCTGAGCGGAGAAACAGTNTGTCGCCTCCCGCCCTGGGGGCAGGGCCACAGCCTCCTGCATTGTGAAAAGTTCAACCAGACCCAAGGGCCTCCTGAGCTGAGTAACAGTCAAGGAACTGATCAAGACAGACTTTTTGTCCTTCAAAATTCTAGCCAAAGTCACCAGGAAAATCCCATGAAAGCAGAACTGCAGATCTCAACGAAACAAAAACATTGACACAGAGCAAGTGTCCTTCCTATAATTAACCCCTCTTCCCCTGTCTGTAGCCAGTAAGTCTTTCCACTCCAGCAACATCCGTTTGCAGTCATCCCAGTGTTATTCTGGTCTGATGGGGAGGAAAGAGCAAAGAACCTATTTGCACAGAAGAGGACTCTGTGCTGACGACCTCAGGAGATCCAGGGGAAACATCCCCATCTCCCAGCTCTGGAAAAACTGTTCCTAATGGTTCTAATTGTGTCCACTGGTTCTGTAGTAAACCAGCCTGGTAGGAACGTGAAAAAGTGAAAGTGAAGTCGTTCAGTCCTGTCCAACTCTTTGTGACCCTATGGACTGTAGCCTACCAGGATCCTCCGTCCATGGGATTTTCCAGGCAAAAATACTGAAGTGGGTTACCATTTCTGTCTCCAGGGGGATCTTCCCGACTCACCTTTGAAATTGACCAAAAGAGTAATGCCAATCCATTTCCTGGTGCTCTGGAATTTTTATTGCCCAGATCCCATTTGTTCCCACTGATTGCTTTGGCTGCTTTGTCAAAAAGCAGATATGTGAGTTCTTTATGGATGTTCCATTCTGTTCCATTGCTCTATCCTTATGAAGTTCCAATATTCTGGCTCCTTGACACGAAGAGTCCCCTCATTAGAAAAGACTGTGATGTGGGGAAGGTTTGAAGGCAAACAGAGAAGGTGGCAGCACAGGATGGATAGAGAGCATCACCGACTCAATGGACATGAATTTGAGTGAATTCCAGGAGATGGTGGAGGACCAAGGAGCCTGGTGTCCTGCAGGCCATGGGGTCACAAAGAGTTGGACGTGACTTAGCCACTGAACAACAGCAATAGCAATGCGAATACACACTGTCTTGAATACTACAGCCCTGCAGGAAGGCAAGTATTATAGAGAAAAGCAGCAGCATTTTCTGATACATATGATTTTCTTGCTCTTTCTTTCATTTCCTCATCTTTGAAAGATTGGAGATACAGAGAAATGTTTCTTTACTGTAAGGAAACAACACTTCAAGCATCTTGAAGAATGGCAGCTGTCACTAGTACTTGATGTCAGAACCTGGGAAGTGGTGAGGACCTCGGCAGTCTGGAGAGCAGATGCCCCTGAATGGGGGTGGGGGTGGGCGCTGGGAGGTGGCGGGGGACACTTATCCCATTGTCCTCATGCAAGAAGCAGGCAGTGGGGTTTCAGACCTTTACACTTTTAAGGAGTAGCTCAAAATCTGGGTGAAATCTCTCTTTGAAACACCAACTTAAATAGAAACAATAGCAATCTAGCCCGGGCCTCCCAGACCCACCTGCCGGCAGACCAACTGTGTTCTGCTTAGGGATATTTTAGAGCGCTAAATGCATGTATTAGAAAAGTAAAAAGGACTTTAATATGTCAAACATTTATTTCAAAAGTTAAAACAAAATAACAGAAGGAGGAGTAGGAAGAAAGAAAATAATGAAGGTAATAAAAATTAATGAAGTAGAGAGGCTTCCCTGGTGGCTCAGTGGTAAAGAATCTGCCGGCCAGTGCAGGGGACCCAGGTTCGATCCCTGACCACATGCCACGTGGTCAACACACATTCAATTTTCTAAAAACTCTTAGCAAATTAAGAGTAGAACTTCCTTTATCTGATGAAGATTATCAAGTAAAAGCCTCAGCAAATACCACAATGATTGTGAGATATCAGTGTATACTTTATAATTATCAACCTGGACATTGATTCTGTATCCACTTTTCTGTACGTGTTATCCATCTGTACATGTTATTTTCTGAAATTCTGACCAACGTAGTGAGACACAGAAAAATATAAAATATATCATTATTGGGGGGAAATAATAACATTTAGGGAAAATATTTAAATCATCAATTTAAAAGGATTTTCATTTTTAATGGAATTCAGTAGAGTGGCTAAAAACACAATAAATATATTAAAAATCAGTGGCTTTCCTGTAAACCACTAACAAGTAATTGGAAAACAAAATGGAAAACTGCTCATTTACAATAGCAATAAAAGTGTACTAAATATCAAGGAATAGCTTGAATAGAAACAATTAGGATTTATAGGAAAAAATCATACACAAACACTTTGAAATTTTCTTGACTGACAAAGTTTTATGCATAAAAGAGCTATAATTCGGAATGAAAATGCTATATATTGCAAAAATTTTCTTCCCAAATACATTTAAAGATTTAACTCAAAAACCCCCAGAACATTTTTAGAACATATACATTTTTTTTCAGATAACCTCTGTCTACAAATAGGTGTAGTATATATGTGTGTATATACATGTCTATGCATGCATGTGTAATAAATATTATATGTAATATATGCTAGAGGTTATCTGAATAAATGAAGGGACAAGAATTTTTAACATCTGAAAGTTGAGCAATGAGTAAGGACTTGCCTGTCAGATATTAAAATGGTACCAGGCCTAATAAAGAAGCCATTTTCGTAATCTAACAAGACTAGGTAAGCACCTCAATCAAACACAGTCAATAGCCTAAAAACAGACCTAGTCTATTTAAGAATTTTATATATACCATAGAAAACTATGGCAGAAAGTGAAGAGAAACTAAAGAATCTCTTGATGAGGGTGAAAGAGGAAAGCGAAAAAGCTGGCTTAAAACTCAACATTCAAAAAACTAAGATCATGACATCCGGTCCCATAATTTCATGGCAAGTAGATGGGGAAACAGTGAAATCAGTGGCAGATCTTATTTTCTTGGGCTCCAAAATCGCTGTGGACAGTGACTGCAGCCACAAAGTTAAAATATGCTTGCCCCTTGGAAGAAAAGCTTTGACAGTGTATTAAAAGGCAGAGAAATCACTTTGCTGACAAAAGTCCAGATAGTCAAAGCTATGGCTTTTCCAGTAGTCAGGTACAGATGTGAGAGTTGGACCTTTAAGAAGGCTGAGTGCCAAATAATTGATGCTTTTGAATTTTGGTGCTGGAGAAGACGCTTGAGAATCCCTTGGACAGCAAGAAGATCAAACCAGTCAATCCTAAAGGAAATCAGTCCTGAATATTCATTGGAAGGACTGATGTTGAGGCTTTGATACTTGGACCACCTAATGCAAAGAGTTGACTCATTGGAAAAGATCCTGAAGCTGGGAAAGATTGAGGGCAGGAGGAGAGGGGGACGGTAGAGGATGAGATGGTTGGATAGCATCATCGACTCAATGGACATGAGTTTGAGCAAACTCCAGGAGATAGTGAAGGATCGGGAAGCCTCGGCATGCTGCAGTCCATGGGGTCACAAAGAGTCGGACATGACTTAGCAACTAAACAGCAGCAGTATAGAAAAGTAAAACGGTAAGCAGGGAAGGGAAGGGTTGGGACAGAACCCTCTCCTGTCACTTCTCGTGTACTCCATCAGGTAAACATAGAGAGATTAAGGAGGTCAGCATAAAACAGGAGAGCATTTCTAAAACTGGAAGAAAATACAAGTGAATATTTATAAAATCTCTAGATGACGGGGAGCAGGTTCGAAACTTGAAATTAACAAACGAGCGGAAACAGAGTCAGTAGGGAATCTGACTACATGCAAAGATAGCACTTGGACGCACCAATTAAAAAAGACTAAAAAGACGAAGAACAGACTGAGGGACATATTTAGAACAAATAACATAGAAAAGGGTTAATAGTGTTTCTCTTTTTTTTAAGATTTTTTTTATGTGGACCATTTTTAAAGGCTTTATTGAATTTGTTACAGTATTGCTTCTGTTTTATGTTTTGACTTTTTGACCACGGGGCATGCTCCCCAACCAGGGATCGAACCTGCACACGCTGCCTTGGAAGTCCGAGTCTTAACCACTGGATCACCAGGAAGGAGATACTATTCCCAATAGTGTCTCTCTTAATTAAGAATGTATAGAAGAAAAACATTTAAGACTCCATTTGGAAAACTGATGAGAGATAAGAGGCAAGTCACAAAGAAGAAATTCAGTGGCTAATAAAATTCAAATATTCAATTTGAACAATGTAGCAAACAAGAAATGTGGAAGACAGCACCACTTTTCACATATCAAATCAACCAAGTGTTGACGACGTGCATTTCGCTGACCGAGGCCAGGTGGTCCAGGCACTAGGAGAAGATGCTGGAAGGAGGATAACTGGTCCAAACACACAGAAAGCCATGAGGCAGTTTCATGTGTCAAACACAGGCGTGCCCTTTGCTCCAGTAATGACACTTCTAGGATTTAGTCCTCAGGAAACCGTCAGAGAGGCACACAAAAAGGGTGTGCACAAAGATTCATTACGTAGTTAGCAAAAATAAAGGAAACAAGATCCACTTCCATCAACTAGGGAAATAAGTACATAATGAAGTAATGCAAACACTGATAATGAGGCTTAGAAATGTTTTTAATTATGCAGAAAATTCTCATAGGAAGTGAAAATGAGGGTTTTTTAAAACCATAGACAGTATAATATCAACTAACTTTCAAAAATGCATAAAAAAGATAAAAAATAAGCTAAAATGTAAACAACTGGTTGCCTTGAGCATTAAGAAAGACATCAGCTTTTTTATTTTTCCTAATTCTTCATTTTTTTTCTGTACTTCAGTTTTTTTTCCCCTGTATTTTCGCAAGTATCAATAATGAGCACTTATTACTTTCAAAATAATTGGAAAAACAAAAATGTCTGGACAGGGCTGATTAATAGCGTGGTAGGCAGAGTAACAGCCCCTAA